ATGACATTATGACTTAAGGATAAATTCAAAGTACATAGACATTATAAGTCATTTCATTGTTTATTCGGATATTTTATCATGTAAAACATAATTGTTCCTTGTATAATAATAATAAAATATAGGGATCTTTAAAATATAAGGATCTTCTAGCTCGACATATCTTCTTCTTCGCAAATTAAATAACTCCCATAAAAATTAGAATTTGTACACACTACTATAAATAATATAAAATTAGAGTCCTAACTTATTAAGCAATCGAAAAATTTATTTATCATTAATTGATGTTAGTACAATTTTACCTATATATTCTTTTTTTACAAAAAAAAAAAAAATAAAAAATAAAATAAATTACTCTTTAATTTATTTCTAAATGATACGCATATATTCCGTTTGCCTAAATTTCTCAATTGAATTTATTTTTTACCTATTAAATTTTAATTAATAAAATTTATTATGATTTTATTTTGTGAATTATGGAAAATATAATTAATCACATTAGATCTCTTTTGCAAATAAACAAGAGATTAATTAGAGTCCTTGAATCCTTGTCCAATTGCCCTTAATTTATTTTTTTTAGTCAATTTGGGAATCATTTTTTTTTTTCAATTACGTTATTTTATTGAAAAAACACACGTAATTATAACAATTAGAATTTATAAATTTAAAAATTCATAATAAAGATTGTGCTAAAATGAGGTTGGCATATATACCAACTCTTTTAAAATTCTTTATAGAATTTTATTATTGTCATCACAATTTCACCATTAAAATTACATAAATAACAAGAAATCATTAATCTTCGCAATTTTATACATCATCATTTATTTTTATTTTTTTTTTATAATAAGATAGAGATTGAGATATTTTATGTATTGTTCCATATAATTTTCAGAATTATATTATATTATATTTTTTATGTACTATTACATGTAGTTAACAAACTTTATTGTACGGGACTGAAATTTATTTGTCTGTTACTCGGCAAAGCGGGCAAAGTTTGTTACGAATATGGTCAAAAAGTCGTGGATTGATTCTCTCTCACATTTGGTCTCAAAATCCGAGGTAGAAAGAGAGAGGAAAAAAAACAAATAGAAAGAGAATAATAATAAAAAAGCAGTTTTAATTTCACAAAGCCCGAGTCCATCAGTGTTAAAAATTGAATCCACACGAGCGGTTCTCGATTTGCATGATGCACACACACTCCCACTCACACACCCTTTTACGTCAGAGTCTGTAACCGTTACATCAACTATCTCGATTGTTATATGATGATTTAACGGTTATAGATCCCGACGGAATGATTCCGTAACGAAACTGTAGTCATGGAACCGCAACCATCCTTAATCCTTTCTTCTATCAATTTCGTGGCAGTTTCATACTCACTTTTTTTTTTTTCTTTTTAAATTTTGGGGAGACGACAAAAAGGCAGTGAGGGGAATCGTGTGCTTTTGTGATTTCCATCTTTCTTCACTTCCTCCTTTTAAATTAATTACTTCCTAATAATTCCCATATTTTGTTATTTTTGTACCCAAAAAAAAATTAAAAAAATTGAGCATTTAGCAAAAATGAAGTTACAGAAACTCTGTAATGGGGGTGGTACTGAGGATCTGCCAAATGGGTTACGTGAAATGACGATTTTAGCCCCACACCGGAACCTCGAACTCTGTCTCGACGGTAGTCCGGAGGGGCAAGTTAGGTATTTTCACGCAGTGGAAGGTGAAGAAGAAAGGAAAAACAGTGAGCCCACGAAGCTCTGTTGCAGGGGACATTGGAGGCCTCATGAAGACGCCAGACTCAAAGAGCTCGTTTCCCAATTTGGCCCTCATAACTGGAATCTCATTGCAGATAAACTTCAAGGCAGATCAGGTGACGGGATGGTACCTTAACGGGACCGTAACATTTCCCAATATTATCCTTCATTTTGACATATTTTTTTTCCTTTTTTTTTATTTGGTAGGGAAAAGTTGCAGACTGAGATGGTTTAACCAGTTAGATCCAAGGATCAACAAGAGGCCGTTCAGCGAGGAAGAAGAAGAAAGGCTTTTGGCGGCCCACGAAACGTACGGAAACAAATGGGCTCTAATAGCCCGGCTTTTCCCGGGCCGGACGGATAACGCCGTGAAGAATCACTGGCATGTGATTATGGCAAGAAAACACAGACAAGGCGGCAGCTACGTGTACAGGAAAAGAAAGCCTTCTTATTCACTGCTGCACGCCCAATATAGGGGAATAGTCACTACCTTGATGATGAATAATAATGTTAGTGTTGAGGAATCATCTGGTGCTTCGACCCCCACCGATCTTCGCCTGAGTCTGCACTCGGTGAGGCCTTCAAAATACGATCGTGGTGGTGTTGGTGAGTCGATTGATCGTCGTCATTCGAAAAATATGTTACTTTTTTTATACTTTTATCGTCATTATTGTTATTAAAGGTTCTTTGATAGTATGATTTTGCAAAACTAAATATTATTACATTCTACTGCGACATGCATGTCGCCGTAGAATGTGCGTGGATGATGATAATCGGGCCAAGAATGAAAAATGACGGAATGTACTTTCGAACTATAGAAACATCGATTTGAGGTGGTGTTCGATTCGGATTGTGTTCTATAATATTTTGTTTGTTTATCGAGTGCAGGCATGGTAGGGGAGATGGCTACTGGGAACAAAGAAAACCAAATTGATGATAAAGAGATATATGAATCAGTTTACTCAGATTCAAACTCTGAAGTGCTCTCAGCATCAGAATCAGTAGCCAACAACAGGGCCACCAGTCTCTGCATTTGTGGGGAAAATCAAAGTGACAATAAAAATGTGGGATTCATTGATTTTCTTGGGGTGGGGTCCATTATTTGAGATTCATCAGTGTCTTTTTGGACATTAGGGGCATAACAGTCTTTTGTCCTTTTTTTTTTTTTTTGGGAACCTTAAAATTAGCAAAATAAGTTAAGATGTGTTTGTTCATTAGTATGGGCTGTGGTGAGAAAAAGGGTTGAGAATGGGTTTGGCAGTTGTTGCATTCTATCACTAATTGCAGAAAAAAAGAAGTTGGTTTTTTTGCATGTATAGTCCAGTGATTAATCATGAATGGAATTATGTATTGAATAATTAGGAATTCTTATCTTGCATTGTGTACTTATTTTCAAATCTTGCTAAATTGTATATTTATTTCCTTAAATAATTTTTTTTTCTTAACATAGTTTATCATTTTCTGTTTCTTAAATTTTAATTATTTTCTTTATTATATTTATTTTTTTAATTAGAAGAATAGTGTAAAGTGACACATAGAAACATATAAATAAAAATAAGAAAATAATTTATTTGTAAACACGCGTATGAGATATTCTATCGTGAGGTATAATTTTAGTTTGAGTCTCACTGTATTGGTCTCTTTTCAGCAAAGGTCCATCTTTTTGTACATATATATCAAAGTTGAATGTGGTTCAAATGAGAACCAAGTGCTAGTGTGAGAACCGTGAGAACCACTATTTTTAATTATATGTAGTACTATGGTGGATTGTGTTTTAATGTTATTTTTAATCAGGATGTGTTTGATTAAAAATTGTAACACAATTTATATTAGCATTTGTGAAAATAATAGCACCATGTAATATTAATAATAGCATCATACACAATTAAAAATAACATCAAATATGGTTCTCACACCAGTACTAATTTTTATTTGAACTAGCCCTATCAAACTTTGTACATTAACATTAAAAATTCATCAATAAGGTATACTAGTCATTATTGCAGAATAAATAAAAGATTATTTAAATTTATCACGAGCTCACCTCTGGCTAACCAGGAGCTGAAAATATAGTTTGTGTCTATAACTTTGGACATGCAATTGACAGTGCAAACGAACTCTAATTGGTCTGAAATTTTGGATATAAAACCGTCTCGAGGAGATGAATCCAACGACTGATCACATACTTGTATCTGGCGGTTGACGACACAAAAGTTACGCAGAAAATAGAACAACTTAAATTATTTTGGACATAAAACTCGAGTAGACAAACGAAATCTAATTGAGCTACAATTTTTTTGTTGCGATCGTCTTGATGGGACCTTTTTGGCCCATATTCTTTTGGATGTCAAATTGAGCAGATAAACAAACTCCAATTGATTTCAAATCTGGTGGTTACAATTGGTTCAAAAAGAAGAGTCTGACGATAAGTCAACCACCTAAACTTAATCTTAGAAGGCATATGAATTAAACTATATAGAAAATAGCCCAAAATTCTTTAGATGGATAATTGAGTGGGCAAATGAACTATGTTGACTAAAAGTATAAGGGTGCGGCCGTCTCGACAAGAAAAATCTAATGGTGGGTCACTATGGACAACATATGGCGTTCAAGTTAGGCCATAAAGGGAACAATGAATTTTATTCCGCCGCTAATGAATAATGATTAGTGTATCTCATTAAGATGAATTTTTAAAATTAATACACTAAGTTTGATGTCTGTAAAAAGATGAACATTTGCTGAAAATATGTATATAGTAGATAAAGGAAATTATGCCACTTCCTTACATCAAACTAATTTACAATATTTTTTTTCGATAAATTTACAATAAATTTTGAGATATACTATCCATTGATTAAGTAATTAACTTTTTGATGATTAATGAAAAAAAAAAAATCACGTCAACCACATTAGTTAAAATATATATAATTTTTTTTTTATTTTCTCCAAATATTAAATTACTCTTTATAGACTCCATTAGCTACCATTGTAAATTTGGATAAGAGATAAGGAACATCCTATAAAATTATCAGGAGATTTGCTAATGAGAAATGCTACGGTCTCGTTATGGAACCATTTCGTTGGAGTTTGTAACCGTTAGATCATTATATAATCGTCGAGAATAGTTGATCTAATGGTTACAAACTCTGACGGAATGGTTCCGTAACGAGAGTAACATCTCCCAATGCTGATACCCAACTATATATTATGCAGCAAAGTTGTATTTTGATCTTTCATCTCATATTTTAATAAAAAGATTCTACATATGTATAACTAACAATATTGAATATAATAATAATTAAAAAAGAGGTAACAATATAATTGGTATAACATGCATACTACATTAATAGAACATAACGAGGAGCAGCAAACGATAGGACTAAATCCAAAAGGTTGTTTTAGAGAAAGCGACTAAACAAATATGGACCTGCCCATATTTGATGACTTTGTATATTCTGGCGTTTGCGTTTTATTTTGTACACTTTGTTGACCGTGTGTACGGGAATATATGACTTTTGTAAGCAACTATTGTTTGGGTTGTTGCATGCTTTTTGTCTTTTGTCCTTGCCCGACATTTTTAACTCGTGTATATAGTTAAATCTAGACTCAGCTATATAGTTAAAGTCGAAACTTAAAAATAGGTGAGATGTGTTGGATAGAACTTGGTATGAGATTATTTTTCTCGAAAGTATAGAGATTTTATAAAAAACACACATATTTATAGTCTAGAAAAGAACTAATAACAGTCGAATCATGTACAAAGTTGAATCTAGTTGAAAAACTACACGCAAACAACCTATATATGACAATACTAACACAAGCACAACGCACAAAAATACTCAAACAAGTGAGGGATATGAACTTTTAAATGTGAGAATAAAACAACAAAACAAACATAAACAACAGACCCTAACTAGATAATATAAATTAGATAAACTAAAATCCTCCCCAATAGTCGGCAAGCTGGTCCAAAACAGCCACCGCACGAGCCAACGCCCAAAGACGACAGCCCAAGAAAGACAGAACCGTAGCCCAAGATGCAGACCTAGAAACTCCAAACTTCATAGGACATCGTATTAGAATATCACTTGTGAGTTGTCCTACATACATTGCTTCTATAGGGAACATGAGTCTAGCTTATAAGCCTAGTGGGCTACTCTTCCCAACACCAATTGGTTTTGGGATAAAAGCTCACTAAGGTGCATCTAGGCTCACCCTCTTATGATGAGTATCACGTGCATGGGACCGCACTCGTTTACCCCGATTAGAATATCTATTGTGAGTTGTCCTCCATCCCTATAGGAAAAATGAGCATAACTTATAAGCCTAGTGGGTTATTCCTCCCATCAACTGGATTTGGGATGAAATCTCACTATGGTGCACCTAGGCTCACCCACTTATGGTGCGCTTCATGTGCATGAGGCCTCATTCGTTTTCCTCGATTCTTTCAATCGCAATGGCTAACTAGATCTATCACCACACAAACTAGATCCCCCTTCAAAAGGAGTCATCACCAGAACAACACCGAGAGGTCAGCCCCAACATAGCCCAGACGACCTCAGCCAATTTCATCCAAAGAAGACAAAGGCCCTCACCGTAGGGAACCCACCATCCCAACCTCAAGGCACCAGAAAGGATTCTGGGAAAAGAAAAGGTGTAAGATTATGAGGATTGACATTAAATCGGCAACTCTGTATTAAAGCTTGGAAAGAAACTTGATCACAATCTGGAACTGAGCTAAAAAGGGAAGTTTGTTTATTCAATTTTATTTTCTTAAATCTATGTATCTTAGACTTATTATTTTATTTATTGTGTTGACATGAATGGATCATGTGTGAATGAGTGAAAGTATCTGACTTATCATGCATGGGAATCAGATGTGTTGGAGAACTTCCTTATATATGCCACCAGAATATTGCAAGTCCAACTTACCATCAAGAAGAAGACTTACGAGGGAGAAAAGATATCCGGAGGAGCTTTATCGCGACATTTTGTGAGATTGACGCAATCAAGAAGACTTATCATATTATACAGAGGTATAAGGTTTCCAAACACATGTGGAAAACTAGCTAGTTTTTAGAGAGATTATTTTTTCATTGAGTCTTTAATTTTATTTTGTTTTATGTGAGTAGAGTCAAGATCCTATTCTCGATCTCAGTGAGCTTGAAGGTTTATTCATTTGAAACTATTTGTATAAGTGCTCGGGAGGAATACTTAGACTGAACTTAAAGTCTTTGAGTTGTAAAAATCCACAAGGGATTTGTGATCGGAAGAATAGTATAGTGAGATTACAAAATAGGCAGTAAAGAGGGACTCTTCATTGTTAATCCATTTTGTAATGAGTCAAACATCACGTATATGGAAGAGTTCCAGAGGGGGAGTGGGATTCTTCCTAAAGGTTCATGTTTTTTAGAACCTAGATTCCACAGTTGTGTGAACTTCCATCTGAATTTACTGTTTCTAATATTTAGCACAATTCTGTGTAACACCCCCACAATTTCAAAAGGCGTCAGTACTAGCCCAACCGCCCCAAGTGAGGCGAACGACACTGCAAACCACTTTTGGTCGTCGAGTCTTCGAAACGCCCCAATACAGACTCCCATTGAAAGGAGAAGCACCGCACCAAGAAAGAGGACAGAAAATAGATGAAAAGAACGAAGGCCACCCTGGTGTCGGTAATCTTCGCGGTGGTGTGAAGCACAAAGTGTTGAGGAGAAAAGACCACACGAGGGTTTCAAAAGTTTTTGATTTGCGGTTTTTTATTCTGAGGAGAGAGAAATGATAATATTTCTACAATTTATCAATCTATCAATACATGACTATTTTATGAGAGGTGTTTCATTGAATGTGGTTATGGGTTCGCTATGCCGTACGGGATGAAACACAGTAGAAATTAAACAAAACAAACGAGCATTTATCAAATAAATACTAACTTCATTGCCCAACGTAGCGATTGTTACGATCGACATATATTAAAATCAAGTAAAATCACGATTTTTGATTTGTAAAAGACTTTAAAAAATTACATTTAATTTCTTTGAATTCGACGACATATATAGAATCAGTTCATGGGTATGTGGCTCTCACTGTCTTCTTTCGTCTCCCA